TGACCCAGAAGTTATGGAGCATAAACTCAATGTCGACCCCCTCAGAAAGCCTGTGAAGCAGCGACTCAGGCATCATGGAGCTGAAATCGACAAAGCTATTGAAGTCGAGGTGGACAAGCTGCTGAAAGCTAGACATATCAAAGAAATTCAATTCCCTGAATGGATATCCAACACAGTGATGGTGAAGAAGGCATTTAACAAGTGGCGTATGTGTATTGATTTCCGCGACTTGGACCTGGAGTGCCCAAAAGATCATTATCATTTGCCAAGAATCGACCAGCTAGTCGACTCCATGGCTGGCTGCGAGTTGTTGAGTATGATGGATGCATCCCAAGGGTATCATCAAATTCCCTTGGCCCCCGAGGACCAGAGTACGGTGAGCTTCGTGACGAGCAAAAGGACATATTGTTATGTTGTCATGCCCTTTGGACTCAAGAATGCAGGGGCGACTTACCAAAGACTGATGGATCGCATGTTCAAAACTCAGATTGGGCGGAATATGGAAGTGTACGTTGACGACATCCTGGTGAAGAGCAAATCCTTGACTTCACACCCAGACGATTTAAGGGAAACATTCAAAACCCTTAGAGCGTTTGGAATGAAGTTGAACCCGAGCAAATGTGCCTTTGGAGTGAAGGCGGGGCAATTTCTGGGATACGTCGTCACAGAACGGGGAATTGAGGTGAACAAGGACAAGGTGAAGGCCATACTCGACATGGCACCACCGCGAAACATTAGAGAGGTGCAACCTGATGGGGAGTATCGCAGGATTGAGCAGGTTCATTGCTCAAGCAGCCGAAAAGAGTTTTCCTTTCTTCAAATTGCTCAAGAAGAAGACGACTTTCTTGTGGAATGACGAGACACAAATGGCATTTGAGAAGTTGAAAGAATTTTTGAGTGAGTTGCCCTTGTTGACCAAACCTGAGCCTGGTGACGAATTGGTGTTGTACATCTCGGTGGGACTGGTTTCTTTGAGTTTGGTGTTATTGCGAGAAGAAGGAGGTTCCCAGCAGCCGATTTACTACACCAGTCGAGTACTCCAGGGTGCGAAGATGAGATACTCTGAAGTCGAGAAAGCTGCTTTGACGTTGGTAATAACAGCGAGGAAGTTGAGGCCATATTTCTAAATCATACCATAGTGGTGATGAAAACTCAATTTTTCGAGCTAGTGTTAGGCTCTATTTTCGTCGAATAAGATGATGTTTCGTAGACAAGTGTTCTTCATGAGATTTGTAGTACTCTCAATGAAGTTTCTGCGAGTTTTGGAATTTTGTGAATTTGGGTTAAAATGAATTTGTTATGAAGGCATGAAAACTCAATTTTTCGAGCTAGTGTTAGGCTCTATTTTCGTCGAATAAGATGATGTTTCTTAGACAAATGTTCTTCATGAGATTTGTAGTACTCTCAATGAAGTTTCTGCGAGTTTTGGAATTTTGTGAATTTGGGTTAAAATGAATTTGTTATGATTTTTTTTCAAAGTTCGTCGAGCATGCTGTTTTGATAAACTCGAGCAGAAGGATTTGATTTTAGTTCATGGCTATTTATGATGATCTTACATGACTGAATGGAAATGTGTTCTTCATGGCCAATGTAGTATATGATATAAGTTGCCCGTAAGAATTGGAATTATGCAATATGGAATTTTAGTTGATTTTATATGATTTTTTTAAGTTGGATTTATGCCCAGGATTTTGAAACAGTCGCTGTGTGTATGCATGAAATGTATGCTCTGAATTGATGCCTTTAACGTAATGATATGTAAACATTCTTTTCATGAAATTTGTAGCTTTTCTTGTGCAGTTTCTTCAGGTTTTGGGTTTATATGATTTGGAGTTCCAGTTGAATTTATATAATTTTTATAAGTGGGATGTACACCCAGTTTTTATGAAACCAGGATTTTTTTTTAAGTGTTGAATATGTGCTCTGTTTAGGCGACCTAAACGTGTTCTTATGAAATAGTCTTCTTCATGAAAGTGGTATATTTCCATGTATAGATTATGTAGGTTTTGAGTTTATATGAATTTGAGTTGTGTAACTTGTGTTGTTGCTATTTTACTAAGGTGCTGTATTTTCGAAAGATTGTTCTCTGGCTGTTTTTGCAAACTAAATGTTTTTTTTATTCAAACTTGTTGATAATGTTATAATTTGCCAATGGGGTCTTCGAGGAAGTTGTAGAGAATTGAATTAGCTACCTTGGGGTTTTTTTGAATTTCAATAATATCATATCTGTAGCTTCGGTTATTGTGCATACACTGAGAACCTGTCAAGCCATATATCTTTATTTATCCACTGCACCCATGTTTTGGATGTTTGTTGTATTATGTGCCTTTAAATGACTTTATCCGCCTGAGTGTTCTTCATGAAAATGATAGAGGCATGAGTTAGAAATATTTTCCAAGTCGTTTCATCATGATATGATCTGTAGACTGGAAACTATATGCATTTTAAATTCAACACGCATGCTGAAAATTTGTGCTCGTTCATGTTTATGTTTCCCAAAATGAATTGTGAATTTTTAAAAATTAGCTTTTCGTCAATTTTCATGTATATGTGCCCCAAGTGTCTTAATCTGATTGGTATTATTATGCTAGCTGGAAACATTTGTGAGAGAAGCTTTGCGCTAGACCTCGAAGTGTGGAGGCTATAGTTGTATAAGTGGTCGATCTCGTTTGGGACCGCCGGCACGATTACCTACCTGAGTAAAGTTGTCGTGACGGCCGACATTGCTAGTCAAAAGGGTCAAGTGAGCTAACCATGCTAATGTTTGGCGATCCCGCCGAGGTTAGGATTTTTCCCGGCAGTGATGCCAATGTTCGATTCATATGGGAAATTGTAGCTCAACAGTAATGCTTAAACTGTTGTATTTTGAGAAGTATTGTAAGGAAGCCTTTTTCCTATTTGAGTATCTAGGAATCTATGGACCCGGAAATTGAAATTTCTGGTGTGTACCTTAAACTAAACGCCGAACCTAGATGGGTGTAGCCACGCGAAGTAATGGTCGAGCCCGCATGCCCGTGCTGAGAGACGTAAGGGCAACTGCAGTGGCCGACCATTGACTCGCACGAGAGCTGCCGCCGCCATCACCGAACAGGTGCATGCATACGTCCCGGCGCCCCGCTTATGCAGCGCCTGTGTGTGTCATCTCTCGGGTGACAGTGCCTTAAACTCCAAACCAAACCGTTGTATGAAATCCCTAATCAACGACTCTCGATATGTGAGACTGTCGATTAGTTTTCCTTTGTCATATGCGAAATTTCTCTTGTGATAGCGAGATTTAGGTCCCTCATCGTTTTCGGGCAGTGTCCTGAGTCTCGGTTGTAGACTATGTATACTTCGTAGAGATCGAGACCTACGAAGAGTGAGAGAGTATTGGTGTTAGATCGTTAGTATGGGAATATCGAGCATCCCTAATCGGGAAACCGATTCTGCGATAGGAGATTGTTTTTGAACATCTAGTCGATATTTCCTAAACCGCATTCGAGGTGTTATTCGAGTCGGCAAGGGAAGAGTTGTTGACAACGATATCAAACAGAGCCGTGTGTTCTGTAGGTATCGGTGTTGAGGATATAGTGTTATTGCGGATTGTTAGCCCATTCGTATGGGATTCCGTGGCGGCCTGTTTTATAAGGACGCACAGATCATGTCGTTGTAGTAATCGAGTTTTCTACTGTGACTCGGTCACGAGATGGAAGCTCGATACAACAAGTCAACCCTATATGTTGATTTTGTTGGAGTATGCTATCGAGACACGAAATGACCGGTTAGGGTCTTGTGTATTGATGGATGAGTAGGGTGTGATTCGCTTCGGGAAGAAAGGGAAGCTTCGGCCTCGCTACATCGGACCATTTGAAATCCTTGCCCGAGTCGGGGACTTAGCTTATCGGCTTGCTTTACCACCTAGCTTGTCGGGAGTGCGTGATGTGTTTCATGTCTCGATGTTGAGGAGATATGTACACGATCCTGACCATGTGGTGGACTTCGGCGAGCTGCAGGTCGAGCGAGACCTTACCTATGAGGAGGTACCGGTTGCCGTACTGGACCAGAAGGTCCATCAGCTGAGGAACCGGGCAGTGAGCTTAGTGAAGGTGCAGTGGAGCCGGCATGACGAGTCTGAGGCAACTTGGGAGAAGGAGGTCGAGATTAGAAGGAGATATCCGAACTTCTCGTTTTGAGTCCCTTGTATAGTTTTCTTTTAGTTGTTTGCTTTTATTTTCGAATTCCGAGGTCGGAATTCTTTGTAAGGTGGGTAGACTATAGCGCCCAGTTCGTTTATGGAATAATTGGGATTTTTTAATTAATTTTATTATTATTATTATTATTATTATTATTATTATTATTTAAATTAATTGTCTATACCGTATTATTGCTCGACATTTTTCGTTTAGACTTATTATTATTTAATTGGATATTCTCGTCTAATTAATATATTAAGTTGAGAAATTTTATTTATTATTCGTCGTCAATCGAATGGATCGGGAATTCTTGTTATCGTGTTTTTCTTATCAAGCCGTTATTCTCTATCGAGACCAATTTTGAGCTTATATTTCTACCCTTATAAGCTTAATTATATTCGGTCCTAGACCCAGATAATTTTTGGCCCAATTTGCAAATAGACTAGGCCCAAATAGTGTAATGTCGCCCAATATACGTGGCTTCCCTTCTCCCTTTTCTGATCGCGAGCAGAACCCTTTCTCCCTGAATCAAAACCTCGCCCGAAGTCGCCGCCTGATCTCAACATATTACTCCTTTTGTTTCGCCGATCAAATTTTTGATCAAATCGCTCAAATAATCCCAGCTCTTCAATCGTCTTTTCCACCATCGTCGTCCGGTCGCAGGGAGAGAGAGAAGCTGCGAGCAGCGACTTGTTCGAGTGGAGACGAGGAAGATCGAACGTCCTTCGAGCAGACCCAATCCTTCAAAATCACATCCTTCAATCGCTCGCTATTGCACCCGCGGGCCTTCACCGGTGTTTCTCTCTTCGAGCAGCGGGAACTTTTCCGATGAGTTCATCGTCAAGCAGCCGGAATCCTTCAGCCCCTGTTCACCGAGAAACCCAAGGTCGAGCCTGTTCCCGTCAGCAGCCGGTATCTCCACTGAAGAGGAGAAGTAGCAATAGAACCACGCTGGCCCTGTTCACCGTGCCGGAGGTTTCGTCAGCCCCGTCGGCCTTCGTCGAGCGGTATCAGCCACCGCACGTTCTGTCGGGAAGGAGATCTTCCCGAGCCATACGTCGTCGAGCAGCAGTTGTTTCCCGACAAGTCCCGCTGTCGCTGGTAGCAGTCGGCGACCCTCAGCGTTTTGTTCACGACTGAACCTCGAGCACCTCGCGAGCAGCAGCGGCCAGCTTCCTTTGCAACGAGCAGTAGCCGGGTTCCTTTCTACTCGAGTTGTTTTGCCGGGACCTTTATTCTAGATGAGCCGAGGCTGATTCCCAATGTCCGAGGCTTCCTTTCCCGTTTCTTTTAGCCTTTCCGTTAATTCCCTGATGGAGGTAGAAGGCTAATTCTCTTTTTGTTTGATTTCTTATGAGTTATAAATGAAAGGATTAAATAGGCTTAAAGGTTCACACGATTAAGTTTGAGTAGTATTCATGAGATTTATTAACTTGAAGCATGTTATTTGATGTTATTGAGTCGATGTTGGAATCTCGAATTTGGACATGTATTGGACCTCTGATTTTGATGCTCAAAATGCATTGAATTATCATGCTTAAGCCTTGAGTCTTATGTGGATAATACATGCTGAAATGAGTGTCATTAGATGCATTTATATCTCAGTTAAATCGTCATTAGCATGTGGTTTAATATGTGAGAAAGAAAGAGGCAAATGAAGGCTTTATGTGTATTTTTGAACTGTTATTGGGTGTAAATTTATGAGCCTGAGTTGCTGTTGTTATGTGCTGTATTTGTCATGTTGATCTTATTTGTTTTTCATTGATGTTATTATGAGTATATTTTGAGCTTAAAATTCTGCTCTTTTAGTGGCCCTTAAGTGTTAATTCAATTTGAAAGTTTGTGCCTAAGGAAAGAAGATATAAAGCTTTCATACTGTGACGTCATGAGAAAAATAAACCTGAGTATAGTTGCTTGGTTGTTATTATTATTTTAATTTTATGTGACCTCATTATTTTGCCGTGACCTCAAATATGGACATAAATTTAAATAGATATGTGTGTTAGTTTTATGTGGAGCTTGGGCCTATATATATATAAATATTTTTTTTATAATTTGTTTTGGGGTTATCGGTTTGGATTTAATGTTGTTGAATGAGAAGCATGCTGAGTTGTATATTTACGGGGCCCTACTATCAGTTCTAAAGCGTTATGTGTATTGTTTAAATAATTGAGATGCTGTAGTTATTAATTCTTGTATCAATCATGATAAGTTGCTGCCAACATGCATGTTGAGTTTAGAATATTAATTGAGGTATAGCACTTTGATTTGTGAGTTTCAGTAAAAATTTGAAGTGCTACACGATTTAGAATTTAATTAGAATTTAGGGTGTTGCATGGTCCCAAGTAATTATATAGTTTATCTGATATTTTATTTGCTTATGTTTTGACGGAATTATATGCTTTTATCTGATGTACGTGGCTTACGTGATTAAATTTTAGACTTTAAAGAATATTTTCGAGATATTTTTATTTATAAGTCCGAGTCAAGAGTTTCAACATCTAAGCAATAGAATAGAAAAAAAAAAAAAAAAAATCTTATAAGTCGTGAACCTTAAGCTAGGAAATCCTTCAAATTGGTAAATTAGTTACCGAGTTTAGAGTTAGTTGTTTATTCGAGTATCGCTTATATTTATGTAGATTCCGAGGAGTCCAGCCCTCGAGTTTCCACATAAGCGACGACTCTCAGTTCAGTTCAGAAAATCCAGGTGGGTTATTCTAAAATTATCTATGCATATGTGTGATTTTAATTGTGATGAAAGTTTGGTGTGATCTATGTATGAAAATGAGCATGTAGCCTATCGATGTGAGCTTGATGGCCATCGGTTCGGTTGTCCCCGTATGATAAGATACGGTTACCTTATGAGGTAAATCTCATTAAGACCTATGAGAAGGCCGTGTCATTGATGTGGCACACACTCCCATGTTTCACTGATATGGCATGGCGGAGCTTTGATGAGCATAGATGTACATGAGTGAGCCATAGCTATGGCAAGAGTCATTGATGTGACTAGAGATGAGACATGTTATGATTATGTTTATGTTCATGCTGCGACCATACCATTGTTATGTTATTCATATGCATAGTGTGAGTACGATATTTAACTGTACCCACTCCCACCTGCTCGTAACTGATGCAGGTTAAGCAGTTGGCGGGTGACGAGACAAGACGGGTGGTGGTTATGTCATTTATGATTGCTTTATTAATTTTGCTTCCGCTTAGTTCATGAACTCATGTTGAAATTTGGATATTTTGAATTATGTCTTTTGAACTCAAGAATTATGAATTATCTTTTGATAAGTTGGAACTTAACTAATGCTAGTTTGGTTATGACTTATTATTCGTGCATGCTGTCTGTATCTGATGTATTGGCATTTTCGGATAAGATTTTTTTTGGTAAAATGAGTAGCGCCCACTAAGTTTTTATTTAATTGAGATTTGCGAAAAATTTATTGTGATTTTTATTAAATAAATTCGATAAATCTCTCAAAATAAAGTGGGGCGTTACACTCTGACTCGGGAAGATTCCGGGTCCTCCATCAAGACACCTGACATCCACGCTTGGTTATATGCGTCTCGGTCAATATCGAAAGAGGACGTATCTGAGTCGAGAGGATTTGGTGATTGTTCAGCTGACTTAAAGCCGACTACTTGCACTGAGTCGGATGACTGTGCACCTTCATCGATCAAGTGCTCCATGGTATCCGGCGAAGAATCGGAGTCAGAATCTAAGAAAGAAAGGAAGAGAAAAAGTAGAGGTCAATAAGCGCGAGAACAGATTGACGCACCTTGTCAAACGAACTAATCGACTCGTAAAAATCAATAGAAGATAACTAGAAAGAGGAAATCATGCGAGGAACGGCTATCAAAAAACTGAAAAGCTTAGCAAGCTAAGTCGACTCGACTCCCCTCCAATCCAAAGGGAAGAGAGATACGGTAACCGTCGAGAAGACTAAGTCGAAACTGACTTAAGAAAGTTGAGAAAGCCAAGACGATAGAAATCGACTCAAAGAAGAATGTGTAAATCGGCTCCATAACGAGCCGATGTGCGGTGGAATGAAAACAAGAAATCGAATTGGAAGATTCACGCACTAATGATCAAACACGAAAAATCCTAGAAAAAATCTGAAGAACACGAAGAACACCTAAGGTCTTTAAACTCGAAAAGGCCCAAAATAAAAAGAAACAACAACAACTTGCAAAGTTTGAGAACAGAAACTTACACATGATTGCAGATCGGAGAAGTCTTGAAGAGCCTGATAGTCGCCGGAGAATTCTAGAGAACTGAGGGTTTGAGAAGAGGTAGAAAGTGATTTGTGAACAGAGGGAAGGATACTTATACAGAAAAAGATGAACCCTGACCCTTGGATCAAAGAGAGATCCGACGGTTCTGATAAGGAACAGAATACAAAACGGCAGAGTTGAAACGACGCGATATGTCTAGATTCAAATTTCGAAATTTGAAAAGACGTCAGGTTGTCAGACTTATCCCAATAGATAATCATGAAATATTACAACAGTCTCGTGAGATGACGAGACGAGTCTCTGACATGATGAGTCGAAAAAGATAACACGACTCAAAATCGAATAAAAGTGATGCTCGACCAACAAATTTACTCTTAAACTAGACCATTTGGAGTAATTTTCGGGGGGACTAGTTGATATAGCCATATTGTGACATACCGACCCAAGTACTCTACACTCGACCAGACAAATACTCAAGCCGCCCGCACGCCGACATATCCAAGTCGACATGCCAAGAGTCGGTTCTTCACATAATGACCAAGAGAAAGGGCGAAATCTATGCAAGTCGACTCCTCGAGGTTGACTTCCTGCAGTCGATTCCAGAAGTTAACTCTCACTTAAGAGCAACAAAGTGTAGCCTCCGAGTATTCATATGATCATGAGTCGACCTCTTAGGGCTCGAGGTCGACTTCTTATGCCTCGAGACCGAAAACGTGATGACGACTCATCACACTTGCAGCATACTTGAGGCTCTGCATTCTTCAATGGATAAGAAGGAATCTTGTGATGACTCAGCAGTAAGGGGAGACAAACCGACCGGGGTATTCCGGACATTTCACGTAAGTCGACTAGGGCCTTTTTGGTACTTCAAGTAAGTGTTTTCTCCTATAAAAGGGGGCGGGGCTGAGGTAACCCTAAACCCTAACTTCCATTCATTCACACTCTCCTCTATAGCTGCTGCTTCTCTCTCAGAGTAGCCTCTCTTCATCTCTTTCGCATACTGACTTGAGCGTCGGAGGCTCTACGTCGGAAACACTTCCGGCGTTGAGTTCTTGCAGGTGTTTACGGGGTCTAGCAACGGCTCGAAGGCGATTCAAGCAGATCTGAGCTCAAAACCGTCGGTTCTCTTCAGATTCAGAAGTAGACCCATTAGAGAGATCCAACGGAGAAGATGGCCATGGTCATGGCCGCAGTTTCGGGTCTTAATTTGGGTCGTGGATTCAGTTCAAATCGATTTTTGAATTAATATTTATCTAGTATTTATTAATATTTTGTGTTTGGTATATGATTATTTTATGTGTTATATATTTTAGGTATATGTTTCGTATACAGAATTTGCTATTTTTTTGTGTTCTAAGTGAAAGTTTTACTGCATAATATAATCATGAGCTGAAAACGAGCTGTATTGTTTGTTATTTTTCTGCTGGTGTATGGTTTTTAATGTATTGTATATTTTATGTGTTTGAAATGTTATCAGTATTCTTACAATTAGTTAAGTAGTTTATGCTAGATATATGATCAGTTTATGTATTGTTATTAATATCCAACATTGCCGGAAGCCTAAATAAAATTAGGGATGGCAATGGGCCCCCAAAACCCGAAACCCGATGGGTAAAAACCCCATTAGGAGCCGGGTATGGTTAAAATTTGGCCCCATGGGTCTGTTAATGGGGAAAATGTCCCCCCATCGGGTCTAGCGGGGATGGGTCTGTTCCCCCTCCCCCCATACCCGTTAAACCATGGGTATAATGCACCCAATATAATTTGGCCCAATATATGTTTTGGCCAAGCCCAAAACTCAACAGGCAGCACTACTAAACGGTTTATATTGTAATCTCATTATAATTTGGCCCAATATATGTTTTAGTCTAAACCTAGATATATGAGATGCAATCTCATCCTCTTGCTCTCCCACTCCAGTCCCACGCCCCCGCCCACCACGCACACTCGCAGTCGCTCTCGCTCTCTCGCAGCTCCACTCCACTCCACACCGGCAGCTCCTGCGTGCGACCGGCGGCTCCACCGCTCCACCAAGATGGCTGGTTCCGCTTCCGCGGCTGCGCTGGCGCTGTCGAGCCCGCAGGCCGCAACGGGAGAAGGCGAGCAGAACTCCACCTCGAGGCCGGCGGTCAAGTCACCGACGCCGCCGCTGCAGATCCAGACCGGGAACGCTGTGTCCTCACCGGAAATGCCAACTTCGTCTCGCGTGGGGTGAGTATTTCCATTTCCCCTCTTCTTTATCTGTTGTGGTGCTTTGCTTCCTCCTCCCCATACTATGGTTTGTACGAGTCCATCAAGCACGATTAGATTACAGTAGCGACGAGGGGAGTTTGGACAGTGAGGATTGATTGATTGAGATAGTTGTGTTCTTATTATTCCCACCTTATTTTACATGGTAGAATTGGTAATTTGTATGTTTCTCTTGAATTTTTGTTGCTGATGACGATTTTCACTCATCTTCCTATTTTAATTTTTTTTCTGTTTATTTTTTGTGCTTTGTTCACAAGCTTTTAGTGATAATGGTAACCATTTCTTTCTTTCTTTTTTTATTTTTTTTTTGCTGTTTATTTTCCGTGGTGTTCATGATCAGAAGCTTATGGACATGGATCATAGTTTTAGTTTGTTCTTTTCTCAAGGCTTTTGAAATCAAATTGTAAACTAAACAAAGTATTACGGAATTGCTGGTGTAACTTTGAAGGGACGCTGCCGCTGCCGTCGCTGCAAAAGGTAAAGCAGTGGTTGGAAAGGGCCGCCGTCCACTGCAGGCACGCATAAACAGCAAACGAAGCCGTCTCGCCATTGAAGGAGCACCTGCACCGAAGACTCTTCCTTCCTCCATCCTTCAGAAGTTTAAATCAATGGGGTTTGATTCGATTCACGCTAACCCCTCTGTACTTTGCATTTTTTTAATTGTTGAGTGATAGATACGGATGGATACAAATGGTAAATACAAATGGTTATCTATGAGCGTATTTACCATGTGTACTACTCTGGAAGTGAAGCACGGTCTTTTACTGTCCATGTGTCCTTACGTTTTTTTTTTTTAGCTTTGCCTTTACTAATGTTTCTATTATTTGTGTTGTACTCCAGAGTAGGGAGTTCAAGTATGGCTAGTAGGAGTAGCAGCTTGCCGCAATCACCAAGTTCTGAACCTGAATCTGTCAACGATTCAGAGCCGATTGAAATAGAAGATGATGAGCCAGAAGAAGAGATGAATGTTGGTTCTAAAAGGAAGCTAACCTCTGCTGTTTGGAAAGAGTTCAAGAGAGTGAAATTTTTGGGGGAGATGAAGGCAAAATGCATGCACTGTGACAAGAAGCTTTCAGCAAAATCATCAAGTGGAACAAAACACCTTCATGATCATCTGGCTTGCTGTCTGTATCGAAGGTGCAAACTCTTAGGGAAGAACAAGATTTTGATTCAACCGTCTCTTAGGTTTGCCTCCAAGGAGTCAGGACAGTTATCTGTTGAAAATTACTCATTTGATCCAGAAGTGGCTAGAAGAGAACTTGCTGGCATGATAATACTCCATGAGTACCCTCTATCGATGGTGGACCATACCGGCTTTAGGAGGTTTGTGAGTGCCCTTCAGCCTTTATTCAAGATGGTGACTAGGAACACAATCAGGTGAGATTATACAGTTGTGAACTTACCGTGCAATTTCTTTTTCACAAAGTGTCTAATTCTGTGTTGTATTGCCTAATTTCAGGAAAGACATTATGGATGCATATATGGAAGAAAAGAAGAAGGCCCTAGAGTACATGGCTGCAACTAAGTCTAGAGTGGGCATCACTACAGACATGTGGACCTCTGAGAATCAAAAAAGAGGTTACATGGCTGTAACAGCCCATTTCATTGATGACTCTTGGACACTTAGAAACATTATAATGAGGTAAAATGCTTGCATTGCTACTGTTAATTGATTTAGTTATGTCTGCGTGTTTCTTTCTGCAGTATGTGGTGATCTGATTGCATGTGTTTATTTCTGTATTTAGGTTCATATATGTGCCTGCCCCCCATACTGCTGGTATTATTTCTGACAAGCTGTATGATGCTTTGGTTGAATGGAATGTTGATGAGAAGATCTCCACCGTGACTATGGACAATTGCAGCACAAATGATGCGGTAATTCCTCTACTGATCAACAAGATTGGTTCCGATAAACTGATGTTAAATGGTCAAATATTGCATATGCGGTGTTGTGCCCATATTCTGAACCTGATTGTGAGGGATGGTTTAGATGTGATACAACCTGCAATTGCAAAGATTCGTGATAGTGTAGCCTTTTGGACAGCCACACCTAAAAGAGTAGAAAAATTTGAGGAAATTGCAAAGTATGTGAAAGTGCCAACTGATAACAAATTAGGACTTGATTGCAAAACAAGGTGGAATTCTACATACAAGATGCTTAGTGTTGCTTTACCTTACGAGGCTGCTTTTAGCCGTGCAACACGTGTAGAGAAGCTATATGATTTTGCTCCAAGTAAGGAAGATTGGACTTTTGCTAGAGAGGTGGTAGGGAGGCTCAAAATGTTTGATGACATCACTGCTCTGTTTTCTGGAACTAGTTATGTTACTGCCAATGTCCAGCTCTTTAAGATTTGTGAGGCTAAGACAAAAATTATGAACTGGTCTGCATGTGGGATTCCTATTATAGAAGAAATGTCAACTAAAATGATTGAAAAGTTTGATAAGTATTGGAAGGACATTCAAGGGCCGATGGGAATAGCTACTGTTCTTGATCCCCGGTTCAAAACTGATTATCTCCTTGGATTCTTTGAGTGTCTGTTTGGTCATAGTGAATCTTGTCTTGAGAAAGTTGAAGCTGTCAAGGCCTCCCTATGTGACTTGATGATTGAGTATCAGTTGGACGATGAAGAAGATAATATAGAATCAACTCCAGCACTTGACCATTCAGGCTTCTTATCCACGATCAGTGCACGTGTTGCAACTAGAAGGCCAATGGGTGCAAGGTTCAGAACTGAGCTAGACAGGTACTTGGATGATGAGTTGGTTCCAATAGAATCTGATAATTTCAACATACTAGATTGGTGGAAGGTGGCTGGGACAAGGTATCCTACAATGAGAAAGATAGCGCGTGATATATTTGCCATTCCAGTCAGCACAGTTGCATCAGAGTCTGCGTTTAGCACAAGTGGGCGAGTTCTTAGTGAGCATCGCAGCCGACTTACTCCGGAGATCTTGGAGGCACTTATGTGTTCACAAGATTGGATGCGGCGCAAGTATATAGGTAAATATTCTGCACAATTTATTTTCATTCAACAGTTTTATGTTTGCCTAATAATTATTGCAATTCTGTTTTGCAGATGCTAATAATGTGGACAAGCCTGAAACCTTTTGGAGCTGCCTTCAGGAGATCCAAGAAGGGATGCAGGTGATGTTATGTAAAAATGGACAATTATGTTTGCTACCTTCAATAATCTTATATTGTCATATATTTAACAATGTGTACTACTTCTCTCTTTTAATCCAGAAACTCCTACTTTGACATGGCCCTGCTGTCTGCTGAGATGACCTCCAACTCCAAGCCTTCCACAACACTCCAGTTTGCTCGCAATTCTAATATATATTAAGTAATTTAGTGTAATGAACTATTAGTTGTCATGTTGAACTTGTAATCCTTGCCATTGGAGATGCCCTTGATGAACTTGTAATCCTTGGCATTGGATTAGCACTTCTTTTTTTTTTTTTTTTGGTCGAGGATTAGCACTTCTGGAGTTGTGTATTTTGAGCTACTAAATTTGATGGATGGTAGTTGATCATTTAGATGAACTCATTAAGCTGCATGTGAACAATGATCTTTATCTATGATTACCTTATGGTTGTGTTATTGTGTTACTTTTATTGAGTGAAATCGGGTCTGTGTCACCCGATGGGTACCCGTCACCCACACGGGTGCCGGGTCTGGGGGAAATCTAGACCCGAGACGGGTGATGGGGGCGGGTGACGGGGGTATTTTTCCTAATGGGGGCGGGTGAGGGGGGGTCCCCCCAGCGGGTTTCTCACCCATTGCCATCCCTAAATAAAATGCTTAAAAATGAAAACATATACTGAAAAATATAATTCTACAACGCAGCATTTTTATAATTATGAAAAAGATATCCAAAACAACATAAACAATAATTATAATAGAAAAACACACACTTGTCATACACGGAATATAACCATAGAATAATAAGATATGTATACAATAAATATTCAATACTCACAGTCATGTGTACATTTGGAAGTAAGTAACCAATCATATAGTGAACATAACCATACAATATACCGACATTCAGAAAAAAAACATAAACATATCATATACACTAGTACAATACCCGTGTATTACACGGGTGTTGAATTAGAAATCTTTTGTAAAAAATATTAATTTTTTTAATTTTTTTTAAAAACTATAATAATTTAATTTTATATAAAATATTACTTTGGGTTTTAATTAAATTATCAAATTATATTTTTTTAATCATAATAATTAAACACCCGTACATTAAATAAAAATGTCAACCCGTATTGAATTTTTTTTTACTTATATCATATAAAAATATCGATATTATTTACTATTACACAAGTACAAAAATATAAATCTTAAATAAATAGAAATAATATGGTGATATGTATATGCATAAGTGTAGAATACGTTTATTTAATATTAAGCAAAATAGATTATCTTTTTTACTTAATCAAATGAAAATGTCAACCCATGTTGAATTTTTTTACTTCTATCATATAAAAATATTTATATTATTTACTATTACATAAGTTAAAAAATATATATCTTAAATAAATAGAAATAATATGGTGATATGTATATGCATAGATGTAGAATATGTTTATTTAATATTAAACAAAATAAATTAATTTTTTACTTAATTAGATGGAAAAATATGAACAAAATATCTAAAACGACATTTATTTTATCAATGATCTATTAAGCCAAAGTGAGAAATAATAAAAATATGAGGGAGTATATATTATTATATATTTTAGTATGACACATGTTACTTGTGCGACTTATATGTGTTATATTATAATATATTTTCTACCTTATAACATATAACTACATTAAACATAAATATATTAATTGATAATAATTTCAATTTCTAATTAATTTTAATAAATAATTTTTTTATTATTATAAAGATAAATATAATTTATTTATTTTATATATACAATATAGATGTCAAATCGAAACTCATCAAAAGATGATTAATTTGATATATTATATATGTAAAACCGATAAGAAATATAGAAGTTATCAACTTTTAAAATATATTATTAATTCAATAGTTATAATAGGAAACGATATTAAAATACAATCAATATAAATATTAGTTTATATCCAAATCTAATTCCAAAGCATGATTTTTTGCCAAACAGGATTCCGAAGCATGAGAGTTTGCCACATAGGCTCAGCGCATTCTGAAATTATATTTAGAGGGGATAACATAACTATGGAACATTAAACATACTGACATATAACCAGAAAAAATATAGATTAATCGACCGTTTCGCAACAAATTTTATTGAGAGTCTTCCCAGACCCACTCGGTTTCATCATCTTCTCAAAGTGTAGTTTTTCCTATATGAGGTTTCAGTTGCTCTAAGCTTGGATTTTCCAGAAACGTGAACTCGACCTCTTAAGTGGAATTTCATTGGTGCTATTCGGTCTGCTTTTACCAACCACGGGCGGGATTTTGTGTCTGCCATAGATTTTTCCTTCATAGAGTTTTTTGAAAAATTGAAGATAATTGACAATTGTGTGCAGTTGGGACGGTGGAGAGAATAATTGTGGAGATGGTTTTTTGGCCAGAACGATAGGGGAGCTATATATAACAACCAAAATGAGTTCGAGTACAAGAGAGATAACAAACTGAATAAAACTGAGAGATGCTACACAAAGCACCTAGAACCTCAACAACTAATAACTAGAAACAGGAAAACAGAAAAGAAGCAATGCATCTCTCCACTGCCATAAGGCCTAGCTGGAATACATCCCTTCAAAATCAAAATGACTCCTAAAACAAAACAGAAAAGAAACTAATCTAATCAAGGAGAAGGAACATCATTGTGTCCTGCAGCTAATGAAGCATCCATCCAATCTTTTTGTGCAGCAGTAATCACAATCTGTTCGGGCATGAGAGAACCTTTAAAAACCCAAAGATTTCTTGATTTCCACAGCCATCAAAGCAAGTAGGTGGACAATTGGATTCTAGCTTGGACAACATCATTTTGCTTAATGGAGCTAACCTGTTGCCACCAATGTTTGAAAGAGGAAGAGCAATGCTGCAAGCCATCCCAGTTGACTGGAGCATACTCCCAGATCCTGCTTGCTCTTGGGCATGAAAAGAAGATGTGTTCAGAAGTCTCTGGTTGATACCACAAATGGAGCAGATAGCATTAATGTCTAATCCTTTCTTCCTCAGGTTTACAGCAGATGGCAGTGTCACCACAAATGGAGCAGATAACATTAACTTTAAATATATTGATTGATAAATAATTCTATTTTTGTAATGAATATTGAAACAACTTTATTATTGTTATAAAAATAAATATAATTTATATTTTTTATACATACAATATGGATGTTAAATTGAAGCTCATCAAGAGATGATTAATTTAATATTTTAGAACGACACTTGTTACTTGTGCGACTTACATGTATTATATTATAATAATTTTTATAACTTATATCATATAACTACTTGAAATATAAATATATTAATTGATTAATATATTTATTTTTCTAATGAATATTAAAAAATTATTTTATTATTGTTATAAAGATAGATATAATTTATTTATTTTTATATGTACAATATGGATGTTAAATTGAAGCTCATCAAGAGATAGTTAATTTGATATATTATACATGTAAAATTGATAAAAAAATACAAAAGTTATTAAGTTTTAAAATATACTAGTACAATACCCGTGTATTACACGGGTGTTGAATTAGAAAAGCTTTTGTAAAAAATAATAAATTTTTTATTTCTTTAAAACACTAAAATAATTTAATTTTATATAAAACATTACTTTGGGTTTTAATTAAATTGTTAAAATATATTATTTTATTTATAATAATTAAACACCCGTACATTAAATAAAAATATCAACTCATGTTGAATTATTTTATTTATATCATATAAAAATATCGATATTATTTATTATTACATAAGTTCAAAAATATATATGTTAAATAAATATAAATAATATGGTGATATGTATATCCATAAGTGTAGAATGTGTTTATTTAATATTAAATTAAATAAATTAATTTTATTACTTAATTTGATGCCTAATACATCAAATGTCGTATCAGTCGTGCTTCACAAATTTTTAACTTTATATGTAATTTTAGAATTTAGATAAATAATTATTTATTTTTATTAGATTGACAACATACCAATTAAACTTGAAATAAATATCATTTTTTAAAAGAATAAATATCAATTTCTATTACTTTATAATATAATTTATAGTTTTATTTGATATAATTTAATTTAGTTTGACAAATAAGTTTAAATTTTATTTATAAGGATATATATTACTGTTTTGTATTTTATATATAAAATATGGATGTCAAATCGAAAATCGTTAAAAGATAGTTAGTTTGATATATCATATATGAAAAATAAATTACAAAAAAAAAAGTTATAAAATCTTAAAATAAGAAGAAAATGAATTGTATAAGAAAATGAAATGTGATGTATGGTAATGAAGGAAAAGGAAACATAAAATAGTTTATGGTTATTAATTGTAGAAGTAAAGAAGGAAAAAATCAATCACGGATTTAGTGTGATAAAATGTAACGCCCCGTTTTATTTTAAAGGATTTACCGAATTTATTTATAAAAATCAGAGTTTATTTTTTGCGAAATTCCAATTTAAAACTTTAATATTTAACGGGCGCTACTTAAACAACTAAAACCAATAAACATTTAAACAGGTACAATCCAACAGTTCAAAACAAAATCCAGTTAATTAATAATACTCAAACCCAGTCATGCATAATAAAATATTCCAACATGTTCAAAATAAATAAGGCAAAAGTATAAATTTTCAAAGTTAAACAAATGGTCTATCCAGATAATAGAAAGAAAAGCGGAAGCAAGTAACACATAATCCAACAACCACCACTCGATCGTCCCTCGCTGCCACCGCCAACCATGCTCAACCTAAAAGGATAAAAAGAGGAACAAGAGGACATAAAAAGTAAATGGGGGTGAGTTCAACCATCATACTCACCATTACCGCACAGTATATTTCGCATAAAGATACATAACCATAAATAATGTATGCATAGAATCCAGATCTAACTCCCTATTAGGCCCTATCGCAAACCTCCTATGTACATACAACAAACCTCCCGACCAGACATCGGCGAGGATGTAACTGGAAGCACTCTCACCACGGGTACAACGGGCATAGGATATTATCCAGGAGACAGTGAATTTGAATTACCCCTCCGCTCTACACGGATTCGGGCGTTCAGCCAATCCCCTCCGCTCTACACGGATTTGGGCGTCCACCTCACGGATGCAACGGGCAGGTGACTTCCACTGATTATGCATTCGTAAAAGGCACTACCATCGGGACACTTAGACTAGGGTTCTCACGCATATAAAAGCTATCGCGACAAACATTTATACGAAATAACAAGTGCGATAAAAGTAGATTTAACATAAATGAACCCACCTGGTAGCGATCAGAATAAACACAAAATAAGGGTAGGCGGCGAGGTCGACTCGTCAAACACCTACATTTAGTAAAATAGCCTTATCAAAGACCATTCTATAATTGCTAAGCCCAACTAAGTTCATATAATCATTAAGCACGCATTAAAACAAGGGAAAACATATTTTCAAAAATATCACATGAGTTTTGGAAATTAGACCCAGCAGCGTTTTTAAAATCGATATACCTTTCAGCATATAACTCATATGAACATGAATCAAGTTGCATTGGAATCCTAAGACATGAACATACAATTCTTATGAGACACTAAAAGCAAATAGGGTCATTTAACAGGTGATAAATCAACAAACATTAACAGTTGAGCCACAGTCCAAAATTGGGAAAATAAACTTGACCAGACTTAAGTAATTACCATATAACTGGAGCTACAGGCATACTATTAATGAAATTCAAAAACCACATGATAGGAAACTCCAATGTCTACAACTTTGCGGAAGATCATATTGGCAAATAATCACATTATAAATGAGTTCAAACACAAAACATGTGATTCAGTAAACCTCTCAGGATCTAATATATAACATGGACAGCACTTCAGTTTCTAACACTTATCTCGAGCTACAGACCTCTAAATGATATGGTTCAAATCTCAAATTAAACCTTACGAATGCCTCTACAACTTTTATGAAGAGTGTAAGTTCATACGAGCACATTATGACATAAAAAACAGATCAACCATTAAATATATATATATGCTGCCGGGTACAGGAAAAACTGGACGTACAACAAATCTTGTAAAAATCATAACTTTTTCGATATAGATCGAAATTGAGAAATTCCAAATCCCAGATATAGAAAACTCGCCATACTACATATTTCATGAAGGTTATGACTTCAAATATTCAGTTTATGATGGCTCAAAACGTAGCACAACAGAACAGTGAAAACAACATGATTTCACATAAAATGATATCTTATGTATTTTGAATATTCGAATCGGACATAGCATTATCAACGCATTTTTAATTTACGACTATCACGTATAATCATAAAATTAAGGAGTTTAGTAAAATGTATTTACCAAACACCTAAGGGAAGGGTAGTCGAGGTTCGGTGCCGGAAAAACGATGCTCGGAGACGACAAATCCTACGGGCGGGGACGATCGTCTGCTTGACTCGCTCGACGTTAACGGCTGCTCGCTCGATGAAGGTGATGACTCGTGCTCGCGGGACAGAGGCGTAAGGTAGTCGGGAGTTGCTATCGATGGCCGGAAGTCACTGCCGCGTGGAGGACGATGAGGGCTCGCGGCAGCGGCTGCTGTGAGCGGGTGGAGGAGCGCGAGGAGATGGCTTTGTCCGGCGTCGCTTGGTGTTGCGGAAATGAGCGGCGTGATGGTGACGAGCGGAGGAGGTCGGGGCTGGAGTTTTTCCAGTGAGGACAAGAGAATTGAAAGAAAAGAAAGTAGAGAGAAAGAGAGAGGGAGAGTGACGTGAGTTTTGGAATGAGAGGGATTGAAAGAGATAGATGAGAGTGAGGAGAAATGATGGGTCAACCTTCTTAAATCACAACTTTAAGACTTTGTAACTCCCATTTTCAAATATAGAAGATAGCAAGAAGGGGGGTTCGGTTGGCACAAAATATGGGATAGTGATCAACCTTTGAATTTCAAAAATTCAAATTGAAATCCATGCATGTATGAGGAGAGATAGGCGATGGGTTGGGGCCGGTTTTGGTAGGAGAAAAGGGGCGGGTTCGGCTCGGCCCAGTTCGATAAATTCACACGTATACTCGCTCGGTTCGAAGTCTCGTTTATTTAATATTTTCGATTCGGCCGAAAGTAAAATAAATAATACGATTCGGCTCGACATTAAAATTAATACAATTTAGCAATTACGAGCATATAATTGAAATAAAATTATCGAGCCTAAATAATTAATTTGAAAAATAAAATAAATGCCAAATAATAATATTCAATTATTTCAGAACAAATGGGCTAGAGAAAAAGATCCCAAAATTGCTACGGAAAAATAATCGAAATCGGCCGGTTCTCTCGGGCTCGACTTGAAAATTATTCGAGGCTCGGTTCGACGTGGCGAAAATTAAATCCGGCTAATACATAATACACATAATACTTATTTAATAATAATAATAATAATAATAATAATAATAATAATAATAATAATAATAATAATGATAATAATAATAATACAGATACATATTTAGGCAATTAAAATCACACATTATTTATTTATCTATAACAACAAACAATTAAGGCAATTACGAGCACAGATAAAATAAATAAATTTAATCGGACAATGAAAATAAATAATAACTTTCAAAATAATTCGGAACAAATGGGGCGCTACAATCTACCCACGACAAAAATCCAATTTTGGTCCGTTAACTTGTCCACTTTCCAGTTTTGGTCCACTATCTTTCCACGCATCAAAATTGGTCCATTATGTTACCATTTTCATCAGAATTGGTACATTAATCCCGAGGGCCAGATAACCAAATGACGTGGACACGGATTGTAACGACGTGGAAGGATATGATTTTGACGTGGAAGGATAACTACCTGATTTTCCTAATAAGGTTTACGTGGCATTTTAACAGGCCATCTCACTCAACATACTTTCATTTTTTTTTTTTTTTTTTCCCGAAATCTTAATATAAAAATACATAATTTAGGTACTGTAAAACAGAAACCATATTTCAAAATCCCTAAATTGAAAATCCCTAAATTTCTTCAAAATGAAGCGACGACGGCCGAAATCCGTGTCTGCGACTAAAATGCCACCAGTAGATGAAGATTTGGGAGTGTTTCAGAAGATTGTTCTTGGAATCGATGTTCCTAACTGCAAGATGAAGTTGCGAGCAAATGAAGATGAACATCTACCCCCTCCTAGATACGGTAATTTTTATTAAATATTTCTGAATTAAGATTTAAGTTATGTAAACTAGGGTTTACATGTAGTGAATTTCAAAAATTTGGTTTTATGTTTGTAAACTTAGGGTTTAAATGTTGTGAATTTTCGAAATTAGGGTTTAAGTTTTGGTAAAATTTAGGGTTTTCATGTGGTCTCTGTGTTTGAGAATCTTGCACAAAATTTTCATTGTTTTTCTGGTGGTCCTTGTATTGAAAAATGTTTATTTCTTTATTTTCAGCCGTGAAGAGTAACTTTCTTACTCTTAGTGTTCATTATGAAGCCATTTTTGACATTCAGCCAAATATCTCAACATATATTGGAGGTGAGAGTGTTATTGTAGATTATGTTGACTTTGGGCAAGTTGGTCTTGATGATTTTGTTAGTGTTGCACAGAGGGGAGGGGTTAAAAAGCCCATTAGGTTTTATGTCAGAACAGGTGGTTGGTTTCTTTTACTAAATGATGAGATGGATTTGTACAGGACTTGGGATGAGAAAGTGGGTACTTTTAGAGACATTCATATTTATGTGGATGATATAAAAGGTCAAAGTGGAGGTTCAGTAGTCAATGGTGAAGATAGAGGAGAAGTAGGAGATGGACTGGTTGGTGAGAATGATTGTGGAGTAGGAGATGGAATGGTTGGTGAAAATGATGGTGGGGTTGTTCATGGTGAAGAAGATAATGGTGAAAATGAGAGTGAGTGTGGTGTAGAAAAAGTGAATGAGGGTGAGAATGGTGAGGGAGATGATGACAGTGATGAGTTGTATGATTCAGAGTATGACATGAGTGAAGATAGAATAGATGATAGGTTGTTTTCTGAATATGTTGATGGTGAAGCTGAGTGGGGAGGGTCTGAATCTGTGTTTGAAGCTGTGGACAATTATGTTGAAAATGAGGAAGATAGTGATGGTGAAGCAGATGTGGTTTACAAGGATAATTTAGATGGTAAGAACAACTCTGATGAGGAAGATGGTAATTGTGAACCAGAGTTTCCTTCTTTTAATCCAATGGAGTTGTATGATCCCAGCTTTAAAGTGGGAATGGTGTTTACTTCAAAAAAAGAGCTGAGGATAGCTATTCATTCTAGAGCAATAAAATGCAAGAGAAATGTTCAAATTGTCAAGAATGATAAGCAGTATCTCAGGGCAAAATGTTGTGATAATTTGTGCCCTTGGAAAATTCATGCCATCAAACTTGTAGGTGAGGCAACATTTCAGATCATTAAGTATATTCATAGGCACACTTGTGCAGGCACAAGAAGAGTTAAAAATTTAAACTCTAGTTGGTTGGCAGGGAAGTATGCCACTTGATATGGGATATTATATAATTGAGGAATAGACCGGTTTGCATCATCGGCCAAGCAACCTCGAAGTGGAGAAAACTGGATTGGTAGAAAGATGATCGACCAAAAAGAAGGAGATCGAGCAGAACAGCAGTACTGGTCGAGGATCGACCAAAAGGAAGAAGATCGAGCAGAATAGCAGAACTGGTCGAGGATCGACCAGAAGGGAGGAGATCGAGCAGAATAGCAGAACTGATCGAGGATCGACCAAAGGGGAGGAGATCGAGCACTCAACAGGTGAAGAGCAGTCTAGAGCGTGGCGTGAACGCGAGAAGGCGCGTGGATGAAGTTGAAAGATCCCAACGGCCTGCGCAGAGGAATAATCTCCCTCAGCTTAGAGGGGCACGTGGCGAGAATATATTGGTGTAGAGTGATAGTGGCGAAAGCCACCCCTGACATCTCTGACACACACACACTATGTGTGTACAGACGGGCAGTACGGGCAGGACAACTCACCAAAGCTGGGCAGTTTTTAGGGCAGGTATCTCACTCCTATATATATGGGAGTGGGTCTTTTCGGACTTACGATTTATCCATTCTTTACTTTGGAAAATTGAACAAACACATACTGACTTAAGCATCGGAGGCTCTTCACCGGAAAACCCCTCCGGTGTGAGAGTTCTGTGCAGGAACGCGGCGTTCTACCGGCGAAGAAGAGGGAGACAAGCTGATTTCAAGCCGGTCGAAGTGTTTTGCGTTACCATTTGGCGCTGTCTGTGGGGACTTTCGTTCGAAAAGTGGTGTGCTGAGATTTCCAAAGCTCGGTGGCTATGGCGGACGGAATTCCTTGGAGAGATTTACAAGCATCGTTCAACGATGCGTGGACGATGACGAGGCCGTTCGGAGAAGGCCCTCCTTCGGGCTTCTCCGGACCCTTGCGTACACCAGTGACTCCGACGCCCGTTCCCCAAGGCGTAGGAGTCACGTCGGTGCAATCAGAGGCTGACGTGGGCTCAATCCGGGCCCAGGAGATTCGTACAGCTCAAGGAGCGGCGACCCCAACACCGCTGCAACCAGATCTGGCCGTGACGCTGCAGCAAGGAGTGGCGGTGCAAAGAGCAGTACCACCGCCAGTGGAGGAGCCGCGACCCGGTCAGCAGGTGGTGATGACAAGGCAGGAGATGCAGCAAATGGTGGCGAATGCGGCGGCACAAGCGGTTCAACAGGTCACTCAAAGCCTTTCACGAGTGGCTGCTGGACCAACGATGGTGGATGAGGACGTATCTAGCTATGGAGGAGAGGGAGCACCGCGAGATCGTGAGATGGAGAGGCTCACGGAGCAAGTGAGGCAGTTGCAGGCTAAGATGGATGGTCGACCTAAAAGGCGTGCTCGAGGACATCCGTTCTCGAAGGACATACTGGCTGCACCGCTACCTGCGAATTATAGAGACATGAGTTTGATGGTCGACGGGACCACTGACCCGTCGAGGCTGTAAGGGCGTTTGAGAATTTGGTTGTGTTACATGGTTATTCTGATTCTGTTAGCTGCAGGGCATTCTTGTCGACCTTGAGGGGAGGTGCGCTCGATTGGTTTCAGCAGCTCCCTCATGGATCGATCAAGGACTTTGACGATTTTGCGGAAAAGCTGATGACCCAGTATGCGAGTGCGGTGGCACAGGAGAAAACCTATTTGACGTTCATGGCCATGAGGCAAGGGGAGAAAGAATCGTTGCGCAAGTATGTTGCGCGATACAACCAGACTTGTTTGGAGATCCCCATGGCCTCGGACGAGGTGAAGGCTGGGGGGTTGATACGGAGTTTGCGAGCAGGGCCCTGTCGAACATCTTTAGCCAAAACCCCTACTCGTACGTATGATGATGTGCTGAAACGGTGTAAGAAGTATATTAACCTGGAAGAGATGGAGGCGGAGTTCGCTAAGTTGGAGGAGTTGGCCAGGCCGGAGCCGAAGAAAGGAAGGGCGAGCTCACCTCGAAAGGCGTCGCCAGGTAGAAGATCGCCCAGGAGAGAGGGGCGTGGCAGAGTTGATCGAGGGCGAGAGGACCGATGGAAGGATCGACCAGTGTTTGGAGGGAAGCGGTTCCATAACTTTACGCCCCTTAATGCGAAGATGGGGGAGGTGCTGGTGGCTATTGAGAAAAAGATCGAGAATAAGGACGTGACGTGACCGAAGTCGAGGCGTGACTGCCCAACGCAACCTAGGTCGGGTAAGTATTGTCGTTTTCATAAGGATTATGGGCACGCAACGGAGAAGTGCAGACACCTCAAGGATGAGATCGAGCGCCTTATTAGGGCAGGATATCTTAAGGAGTTCGTATATGAAGACAAGGCGAAGGGGAAAGGCAAAGGAAGGTGTCGGGAGGATTCAGTGGAGCGGAGTGATCGAGATGAGGATGAGGAGGACGATCCTCAAGGAGGAAGAGATGATCGAGGAGGCAAAAGGAGACGAGGGAGCCAAGATCGAGGGCAGGAGAATCATGGACCAGTGAAGAGAGAGACGATTTATATGATCTCGGGGGGCCCGACTGATGGGGACTCGGACAATGCGAGGAAAGGCCATGTTCGAGCAGTGAAAAGAAAGAGAGAGGAGGTGGGGATCACTGCTCGAATGCCGGTGATAAGTTTCCGAGCGGAGGATGCAGAGGGAGTAGTGCTGCCCCACAATGATGCGTTGGTGATAACGGCGGAGGTGGCTGGTTTTGATGTGAAGAGGGTGTTCATTGATACCGGGAGCTCGGTGGACGTAATGTTTTATGATTGTTTTATGCAGATAAATAAGGAGCTCAACCTCGACTTGAAGCCGGTGGCGACTGCCCTGTATGGATTCAATGGAGGCGAGGTGATGCCAATGGGAGAGGTAAGTCTATCTGTGGCGCTGGGACAAGGAGCAACGAGGAAGGTGAGAATGGTGAGGTTCGTGGTCGTGGGAGCAGAGTCATCATATAACATTATCATGGGAAGGACCAGTTTGAATGCATTCCAGGCGGTCGTGTCAACGTACCACATGACGATCAAATATCCGGTGGGGAAAACGTTGGTGAGGTCGCGGGAGATCAGCTTACCTCGAGGAGTTGCTATCAAACCACGGTGAGCAACAATAAGCAGCTCTCGAGGAAGCAAGCGAGGCTGGAAGAGGGAGTGCTGAACCGACCTGGGGGCTCAAGGTCGAGGGAAGAGATGGAGAAAACAAATAACGGGAAGGAGAAGGTGGAGATGCAACCAGGAGGGAAGATCGAGGAGGTTCAGATGGTAGAAGGTTGCGAGGAGAGGAAGTTCCGGATAGGAAAAGAGATTGAGGAGCCCATAAGGTCGAAATTGATTAAATTGATCAGGGAGTTCGCGGATGTTTTCGCATATACGACTGAGGAGTTAACAGGGATAAAAGCGGAAGTGATCGAACACCGTTTGAATATCGACCTAACGGTGAGACCGGTGAAGCAAAAGAGGAGGCACCATGGCGCGGAAATGGACAAGGTGATCGAGCAAGAGGTGGAGAAGTTGTTGAAGGCGGGCCATGTTAAGGAGATCCAGTTTCCCGAATGGTTGTCAAACACGGTGATGGTGTCTAAGTCTGAAGGGAAGTGGAGGATGTGTATTGATTTTCGTGACTTAAATAAGGCGTGTCCGAAAGATTTGTATCCACTGCCCAGGATCGATCAGCTGGTCGACTCTACAGCGGGTAGTGAGTTGCTCGGCCTTATGGATGCGTCCCAGGGGTATCACCAAATCCCTCTGGCCCGGGAGGACAAGAAGAGGGTGAGCTTTGTTATGAGCAGGGGCACTTATTGTTATGTGGTGATGCCTTTTGGTTTGAAGAACGCGGGTGCAACGTATCAGTGGTTGGTCGATAAAATCTTCAAGGAACAGCTGGGGAGGAATATGGAGGTGTATGTCGATGATATGCTGGTAAAAAGTAAGGTGGAGGCCGATCATGTGAATGACTTGAAGGAAACATTCTTGACTTTGAGAAGATATGGCATGAAACTGAACCCTGCTAAGTGTTCTTTCGGGGTGAAGTCGGGGAAGTTCCTGGGATATATGGTGACGAAGAGGGGGATCGAGGTTAACCCAGAGAAAGTGAGGGCAGTGATCGAGATGAAACCACCTACAAAGGTGAAGGAGGTGCAGATCTTGACGGGCAGGATTGCGGGATTGAGCCGTTTCATATCTAAGGTGGCGGAGAAGAGTGGTCCTTTGTTTCGAACATTGAGAAAGAGCTCCAAGTTCTGGTGGACGGATGAGGCCCATAGAGCATTTGAGGAATTACAAAAGGTGTTAGCCAATTTGCCTCTATTGGCTAAGCCGATTCCGGGGGAGGACTTGGTGCTATACATATCGATCGGAGAGATGGTGGTGTAACGTCCCGTTTTATTTTAAAGAATTTATCGAATTTATTTAATAAAAATCAGAATTTTTTTTTTCTTTTTAAAATCCAAGTTAAAACCTTTTTCGAGAAACGGGCGCTACTTACTAACATCAACCAACAACACACATCCAATAATACAAGAGAACTACACATGCACGAGCTAACAATAAAACAAATACCAAAACATAAGTCTCAAACCATTTTAAAAGGGTCTAGCATTATTCAAAGTTCAACCAAATCCTACACATACATAAGTCAACAGTTATAAAATAAACCAGCTTATTCAAGTCTCAACATTATACAAAAAGTTTAACATAAATCCATGGTTCATCCAACACAAACATGATTTCAAGCTGAGGCATAAATAATCCAAAATAAAAGCAAGTAGTTCATCATATAATAAAAATAGGCGGAAGC